ATCATTTTTGAACCATGGTTGATAACAACATATAACAATGGCTATCACTCTCATCACTATTATTATTGAATAGTAAATAACTTAACCAATTATTGATATCATGGATCTCATGGGCTGACCACAAGCTGCCGAGGCACTGAAGGTGGAACCCGAGTGCCCCAAGACTCGAAAGTCCAAGGAGCTCTGCAATAGGAGGGCTCAACCCCCCAAAAAAGATAGAAATTTTGTACAAGTCCTTTAGCAAAAGTAACATAGAGGTAAAATCTTGAAATCTATCTTCTTTGGGGGATGATGCAATCTTCTTTGGGGGATGATGCACGTATATTATAGTACAGTATATTATATTATGCTATATTATATTGTATTATATTGTATTATATATATTATAGTCTATTATATTGTAAAACATGTTATATAATATTATATTAAATTATATTATATGATATTATATTATTTCATGTTATATGATATTATGTTATGTTGTATGATATTATATTATATTATAATATATTATATTATATTATATGATTTCATGTTATATGATATTATGTTATGTTGTATGGTATTATAGTATATTATATTATACTATATTATATTATACTATATTATATTATATTATATATTATATTATATTATATTTCATTATATTATATATATTTTATTATATTATATATTATTATATTGTATATGTAATATTATATTATATTATATTATGTTATATTATATTATGTTTTCTTTTTTTTAAAATTATGTTATATTTTATATTATATATATTATATGATGTTATGTGATATTATATTAAGTTATGTTATCATATTATATTATACTATGTTATAGTATACTATGTTGAATTATATTATATTATATTATACTATACTATGTTGTATTATATTATGTTATGTGAGGTTATATTATGTTTTATAATTACATATATATATATATTATTGAATAATATTATATATATAATTAAATATTAAGTATCATATATCATATACTATATGTAATATATTATATATTATATATTATGTATTTTATTATTTATTATATCTTTATTATTATATTTATTATTACTATTATTTATATATGTTATATATTTTATGTTAACTATTATATTTTATTATATTATATTATGATATTATTACATTATGAAATTATATCATATTATATTGTATTATATTAGGTTTATTATATTATATTATTTTATATCATATTATGGTATATTATTATAGTACATTATATTATGTTTTACCATATTTTAGTATATAGAATTAAGTTATATTATATCATTGATACTAGATTATTTTTTTTGGCTATACTATATAATATCATACTATGTTATATTATTTTATATCATACTATGTTATATTATATTTTATCAAATAATGCTTTATTACATTATATTATATTTTACTACAATATATTATATCACATTATATTATACTATATTATATTATACTTCAATTATATTATATTCTATTATATTATATTATACTATATTATGTTATATTATTTTATATTATACATTTTTTTGACCATACATACCCAATATATGTATACATATATATATATATATATGTATTTATAGATTATTGTCCAGTTTCGAACTGGGATGCACATCCAAGTTTCCCCCAGTAATGCAAAATCACAGGAACATCGTCTACAAACAAAGGATTCTCCACTGCCACGTTTGCCACGTTTGTTTACCAGAGGCTATCCGGGCTGGCAACCGTGGCAATAGAAAAAGTGAGCACCCCCTAGTCCTAGTCCTGGGTAGGTTAAGATTCCCGTTTGATCGAATTATTCTTTTCATGCTTGGGATCAATGGTTTCCTTTGAGGAAACATATATAAAAATATAAGGGCCAATTTGATTTACTATCATCTATGTCTATACCTATGGGTTGGTTTTCACGTGGGGAACCCTCTGGTAAAAAACCAGCCAGTGGGAAAAGGACATCTATGTTCGGGATGTTGCCGAGGGTGGGTAAACGAACTTCCCAGCCTCCCAGGATGGAAATGTTCGGGAAGAGCTTGGAGTGCCGTGGGCCACTCCCAGCAACGGCTGCCGCACATTTCTCTCTCATTTTGGCGGGATCAATATATATATATATCCTCATGATTTGCAGCAGTTTATGTTCAGCAATTAATCGTTGGCCAAACATGGCAATATCAATCACATGTTTTGTTTGACAAATATATATATATATATATATAATTGTATATATATATATATAATTGTATATATATATAATTGTATATATATATATTACGATATATATATATATGTATATGATATTGCCTTGTTGGATTTTCACAGGGTATATCTCGTCGAGATGGAAAGCGGATATAGGTTGAGGTGCTTGGCTGCTTTGAGGCCTTATGCAACCAGCATCCCTTGTGCAGTTTGGCCCGTCAGGTCCTCGGTCCATGGGGCTGTTGATTTGGGATCCCAACTTTTTCCCTTGAAAAGTCCTTTCAACATGTTCAAATTATTAAACTATGTCTCCATATGGGTTCCGTTCGGTTCCTGGGTCCTAGGGTTTCGTTTTATTCAAGTCGTTTCAAGATGCCTGATTTTGGTGACGCCTGGGGTGTTTTGCGATATGCAGAATCATTTCAACCATTTAGACACCCATGGATCCGAGGATAGCCCGGAGCCAGCACCGAAGCCATCTGCTTCCAGCCGTGCCAGGTTTTGTTGGGTCATGGGAAAAGGAGGTGTTAAACACGTTTGTTTTTTGGATGTTCGGACCCACATGCATCGGTTGAATGGTACCAATGTTTTAGCATGTTTTAGCAGCGGCAAGACTTAGAGTTTCTCGTGCTGACGATCTGCATAGATGTAACATGATGTAACTAAACCCTTTGGTGATCCAACAGGATTGGAAGATCATGTTTTCCCGCTGCCATAGCAACTGTGTGTTTGCAGGGTGTGAGTCTTTACTGTAGATGTATTGGCAGGAGGAAAAAGACCTCGCAAAGTCAGCCGTGATTCCAAGGGGTGATATGGGCATGGGTCAGGTCACTTGCTTGTACATACTTGTGCATGCCCATTCCATCCCATTTCTGCAGGTTGGGTACTTAGTCCTAAAGGCATCGAAACCTGTGATTTGCTAAAGCTTGCGTACACAATATCTTCTCACATTTGGCGGCACTACATGTTTCACAAGGATGTTTCACAAGGCAGACAACACCCTACGGTCCTGACTGATCGCCATTTCTATCGTCACATCACTTAGGCATCCAATCCAATTTGGTCACAGCTTGTGAGACGACACGATTATACGATTCAACATGCCTGAAATCCAGTGGCTGGGGCTCCTCCGGGACGTTTTTTGGTAGGAAAATGGGGCTGAACATGAGGGATACCTGGGATACTCTCCGACTCCAAGTGGCCATTTCATAGGGAAAATTATCACCAGTGGGTTTGTCATTTTCATAGAAGAACTATGAAGAACTATATAGTAATGATCAGCCAGGGGGTTTGGGGGTACCTCTGTTTCTTTCTCAGACACAACCCATATCCGTATGGATTTATTCATCCATGTATTTCTGCATGCCCATTTCTCCGCTTCTCCAAATGATACCTGCGCGCCCCCTTAAGGTCGAAGCTTACTGTAGCTGGTCAGAAGCAAGTCGAGCGCGGCTCCAGCATGTGAGGAACTGAGACACCAGTGGTGACTGATCTGCAGGGTTTATCTGGTTTTACCTTCACCAGATCCACTCAACTTGATTCGAATTCTGAGACACATCCGTTCATCATCTTTATCTAGCCCATCATAGCCCCATCATATCCCCCAAAGTTTGGCAAAAGCCAGGGCAACTTCTAGGAAATCATTGGCCCAATTTTGAGGCCAAACTTGCAGGATCCACAGCCGGGAACCTGACAGGGCGCCAAAAATGGGTAAACCTTGGTGGGTTGGAATAAATTAAACTTTAAAATGGGTAAATTAAACATGTTTACAAAGTACAATATATAGTTTCTAAAATTATTTACTTTGACGCTGCAAAACTTGGCCATAAACGAGGATAATGAGGATATCTACAGCGACTTTTGTTTTTGCATATCCAAATTTGCCCATCATGGGCATTTTTCAGCCAAATGTCATATGGCTCCTTTCCCATCCAACGAATGTACAGGAAAGCATCATAAGTCATAAGCCACCGATTTATCATCATTGTGTTGTCCACTTTTCCCAGAATTGGATGTTGGAAACATCAGAGGACACCCATGGAAAACCTCAAACATGGTGAGTAAAAAAACCATGGTTTCCAGTACCCTCTGGTAAACTAACGTAACTATGGAAAATCACAATTTTATAGCTGGGAAAATCCACTATAAATGGCAATTTTCAATAGCTATTTTGACATAACCAGAGGGTAGATCACATCATCGAAGTTTTCGGCTCTCAGGTTTCTGGCTCAAGAGGAAGCCCTTGGAAGAGCTATGGATCGAAGTCGTTGGAGACCTCGGTCGGATTTGCGATTGAACATGGATCATCATTGATCATCATTGATCATCATTGATCATCATTGATCATCATTGATCCATGTTTCAAGCAGTGGTAGAAGTGGCTGATCCATTCCTTCCAGGGTTTTGGATCTAAAATGTTTTTTTTCTTTTTTCCGGTAATTTGTTGCTACGGAAAATGGAGGAGTATGTCCCATTTAAATTTAGTTCGATGTTTTTTTTTTGGGGGGGGGTAGCTGTGTTAAATTACCAGAGAGAAAACGCACACACACACATAATCATATATCATATGTATATATATATATATACATATATAAAATATAATATTATATATAATCATGCGCGCGCACAGCGCGCACACACACACATATATATATATATATGTATATATATATATATATATACATGACGGGATATAGGGTTCTCACTAGTTGCTACGCCAACCTTTGGCTCAAGAACACCGCTGCTAAAATAGCGAGTTGCATATTCTCCGTTCATGGTAGCGGAGCGATACGCTCCAGGGTCTTAGCAATGGACCAACAACAAGCGGCACAGGTCCTCCAGTCGCTCCAGGAACTACAGACCGAGGTCAATCGACTAAGAGGCCGAGAAGCTGAACTGACAGCACAGGTCGCTTCTTTTGGTGCGGGTTCGGCTGCTTCAGCTGGACCTGGCAGTGCACTGGCACAGTTGGTGCAGTCACAAAAGGAGCTTGTGGACGCCCTTAGATCGAAAGAACAAGTCCGGTTGGTCGACAACAAGGGCCTTGGCAAGCCCGACAAGTTTGATGGGACAGCCGAAAGATTCTTGTCATGGAAAATCAAGACGTCCTCCTATCTTGCAAGTGTTCGCAAAGACATTCGTGAGATTCTGGTTTGGGCCGAAGATTGCGATCATGCAATCACTGCAGATGACATCGACAAGGCTTTTGGGAGTCAAGCAGATGCCATTGACCAGGTGTCGAACATCAGTGAATTGAGACGCGAGCTTTGGGACGCGCTGCTAATGCTGACAGAGCGTGAGCCCTTTGACATCGTGCTGAACACCGGGGAATGCGGCATCGAAAGCTGGAGAAAGCTCACGCGGAGGTACGACCCATCCACTGGTGGTCGCAAACGCGCTCTCCTCAATGCAATCTTGTCACCGGCTCGATCCAAGATGGAAGATTTGCCGTCCAACCTGGAGAAGCTTCTTGACAGCATCAGACTTTATGAACGTCGCAAAGACGCATCTGGCAACCGAACGATGTTGGCAGAAGACATCAAGATCAACGTGATTGAACGATTGGTGCCGGCAGAGCTCGAGCGTCATCTCGTTCTCAATCGAGATCGCTTCAAGACGTTCGAGTCCATGCTGTCCGAGATCCAGTCCTATGTGGAACATGCCACCGGCAACAAGATCAAGGTGGTGAATAGCCAGCGCTACGACGCACATGGCCGTGGGGACGATCCTATGGATGTCGGAAGCTTTGGAAAAGATGCGAAGGGAAAAGGTAAGGGCAAGAAGGGAGCTGGAGGAAAACCTGGAAAGGGAAATGCTACAGCTGAGAAGAGAACATGTCACAACTGCGGACGCCCAGGACATCTGCGGGCAGATTGCTGGGCACCTGGAGGCCCCAAACATAAGGGGACGGGTGGCAAAGGCAACAGCAATCAGAATAAGGACAAGGGCAAGGGCAAAGGCAGCCCCGGAAAGCACAAGCAGAAGCCCAAAGGAGGCAAATCTGTGAACAATGTCGAACAAGGTGAACCAGAAGCAGAAGACTGGGACGCAGCTGATGGCGACGATGGTCAACAAGCAGCAAATGGTTTAACGCTCTATGGCGTTGATGGGCCACCACATGACGAGGATGACGACGAAAGTTTCCAGGTCGATCCCGAGTCCGAGGAGTCGGAAGCCTCGACAAGTCGCAGAAGGTGGTTTTCTTTGCCTCACCCACGTGCGTCATGGCCTGAAGAGTGGGATGACCCCGACTATGATGGACCGAGTGGATCGAGTGGCTCAAGACCCCTTCGGTCGCTTCGACTGGAGGAGGTCACCGAGCACGAGACCACTACATCCAAGTCCGCGTCTTCCAAGGCACCTCGAACGCCACAGGGAAGACCCAAGAGGGGCAGAAGTCCAAAGAGCTCAACACCAAAGAGAGGCAAAGCAAGCAGATCAGAGCCAGTCACTCCGGAGTCAGCACTCCGACGCTTTCGAATGACTTCGATGACACCACCACCAAGGAGAAGGTTGAGGCATGGGCCACAGACTCCAGAAGAACTTCTTCGTAGCTCTACACCTTTGCCAAAGACACCACCGACACCTATAGCATGGCCTGCATCACCTCCACAACAGCCGATAGCCTCGCCCAAGACTCCACCAGGACCACCACCAGGATGGCAAAGCCAAGTAGCTTCACCCAAGACTCCGCCATGTCCACCACCGGGATGGCAAAGCTCTCAGGTGAAGCCACCACCACCTGTCAAGGCATCATCGGCAGCTTCGACTTCAGGTTCTCGACTTGTCCAGATGCTGAAGGCTGCGCTGAGTTCACAAATCCGCAAAGTCCAAGAAGAAGATCCTGGTTCAGGAGATGGCCAGGCAGATGCGATGTTAGCGGCTTTGAGGACTAGATCTGTCAAGGCACCGCACATCACAAAGCAGAACATCAGCGATCCTTCTTTCCACGACTCGAGATACCATGCCGAGATTGCCAAAGGTGTTGCGCACAATGTGGCCTGGAGAAATGAACGTTTGAGAAGACGTGCAATCGTCCACCGACGAGGAGGAGTCAAGGCACGTGCGGCTGAAAGGATTCGACTTGACAAAGAATGGCATGAACGCTTTGACAACCCAGAAAATCCAGAAGGCATAGTGAGAATCGAGGATGAAGACAACTTGGATGCGGGCATCGAGACGGTGGTTGTGGGCAAAGCTGGTCAGAGCACAGTGATAGAGTTTTCAATGGAAGAGCGGAAAACTTTGAGGCAGTTCCCGGACGACGAGGCCAAGTTGCTGCGGAAGGATCCCAAGAAGAAACCCATGACCAAGCGTGTTCGAAGCGTTGGGTACAGGGTGAAGAAGAATCGCAACCGCAATGTGGCGCGCAAGATGGCGAGGAAGAACCGACCAGTCTTGGTTCTGAAGGAAAACACTGAAGTGAACGCAGATGAAGATGATGATGAAATGGAAGAGGTCTACATCGAAGAGCCTGATGAGCCTCGAGACCGACCAGGCAGAGGAGACCCCGATGGTGGAGCTGGATCGGCTCCTGCTGCAGTCTACAGCTTGGGGGCCTCTGACGACTGGCGAAAATGGGAACGAGCAGAGTTGAACATCGACACCGGTGCTGCCATCACTGCAGTACCACTTGACTTCGCCAAGGACTACCCGAGGAGCGAGTCCAATGGAGCAAGCTACAAGGCAGCCAATGCGGAACCCATCGAAGATCAGGGAAGTGTGAAGCTGGTGGGATACGACGAATCTGGCAACAAGATCCCAATCGATTGCCGAGTTGCAGATGTGCATCGGCCACTTCTTTCAGGTTCCGAGATCGCCAAGAACTACCACATCGCCCTTGGACCATCTTCGGGGAGATTGATCCCAAGAAACACTCCTGCGGGACGGGCCTATTCGAAGGCCGTGAAAGATCTGATCCGAGATTATGGCGATTCAATGCCCATTGTGCACAATCGCCGAGGCATCTATGTGTTGGACTATTGGGTGTCACCTTTTCAGGGGCATCCTCAAGAGGAGTAAGACCACAAATCAACGCTGTTGGCGAGGATCCAGCTGTTTCAGCCGGAGCCGATGCCATGGAAGATGGAGGCGATGTTTCAGCCGCTTCGGCCGGAGCAGGGTCCTCAGGCGATGTTCCAGCTGCTTCAGCCGGAGCAGATGCCTTTGAAGATGAAGTTGATTTGGAAATCGGTGAAGAACAGAGGAAAGCCATTGTGAAGAAAGAACCACATCAACCATCCCAAGCTGAAGTTGACGAACATGAAAGCACTGGACATGTTGTCCATCGGAGCTGGTGCTTGCACTGCAAAAGGGCACGTGTGACTGCTGATCGCCATGTGCCTAAGGAACTTGATGAGCCAGAAACGCAGTTGCCCACGCTGAGCCTGGACTACTTCTATATGAACCAGGACCAGGTTGCGGATGAGGCGACCCTTCCGAGCATTGTGGCGAAGTGCCACAAGACCAAGAGATTTTGGGCGAGCGTTCTCCCGGGAAAAGGGGCGGATGCGTTCGCAATCGCGTGGCTTGGGGGAGTTTTGGATGATGCTGGTTTTAATAAGGTAATCCTTAAGTCTGACGGTGAACCCTCCTTGGTATCCCTTAAACAGAAGGTTAAGGAGATAAAGACCCACATCGAAGTGCACTTGGTGGAAACCCCAGTAGAAGACCATCAAGCCAATGGGTTTATCGAAGTGGGAGTGCGAGAGATAAAACGACAATGTCGTGCTCTCCTCAGCGACCTGGAGTTCAAGCTGGAAAGGAAGGTAGATCCGGGCCATCCACTTTTGGTTTGGCTCCCGCGGCATGCTGCCTTTCTCTTGACGAGATACCGAGTAGGTACTGATGGAAAGACCGCTTTTGAGCGGACCTATGGACGAAAATGGCGGATTCCGCTTGTGAGGTTCGGTGAAAGCATCCTGTATAGGCCGAGGGCCAATCGTGGGGGCAAGAGAAATGACCTTGCTCCAAGGGTATCCATTGGGATGTACGTTGGAACTGGAAACAGAAATTCAGACGTCTTTGTCATGACGGAACGTGGAATCATGAAGGGGAACTCGATCCATCGACGCCCACCTGACGATCAGTTCAAACATGATCAGTTTGACTCGCTACGTGGCCTTCCTTGGAGGTTGCAAGAACGAGAACATGGTGGACTGAGGATCGCCCTTCCCGATGTTGCAGCGCCTCGTGAAAGGCCTGCAGTGCAAGAAGTGATCCCAAGGAACCTCTATGTCACCAAGAATGACTTGGAAAAGCATGGGCACACACCTTTGTGTCCTGGATGTGAAGCAGCAATACTTGAGATGCCAAGCCGAGCTCACAATGCTGAGTGCAGACAAAGAATCCAGATCGAACTTGACAAGACTCCAGAAGGTCAAGAAAGGATCAAAAGAGCGAGAGAGAGAGAGTTGCACAAGGCAGGCGCCCAAGAGGCGCGGCTGCACCGCCTGAGGGTGGTGGGGCAGAAGGTGGTGAAGCTGCACCACCAGTTGTCCCAGGAGGGGAAGTTGAACAACCAGTCTTGCAAGACCGTGTTCCTTTGGATGCGGAAATGGATGCAAGTGAGGCTGTTGGTGAACCACTGGTCGACACCGATTTTCGTGGAGAACTCAGACAGAGAGAACAAGAAAGAGAAGGAAGCCCAAAGAGGCAGAAACAAGAACAATCCCGAGGAGAGAAAAGGAGTTCACAAGTCGACGTTGAAGATCTTTACAATGAATCTTCAGCTCAGGCTTCAGGGTCAGCCGGACCACCGGCACCGGATGCTTCATCTGGTGTTCCGGAAGGTGCTGCCGCTGCACCAACAAGTCCTGAGACAAACCAGGAGATGCTACATCTGTGTTCCTTGCTCAAAGATGTGATCGCAAAAGGGAAGGTTGCTGAGATCTTCTCTCCACCGCGTGTGGCTGCACAAGCCCAAGTGGTCGGGCTAGCACCTGGCTTCTCGATTGACTTGGAGACAAAGCGTGGTGATGGAACTCACTGGGACTTGAGTAAAGATGAACACATTCGTGATCTGTTTCAACTGCTTGACTATGAGAAACCAGAGTTCCTCGGCGGCTCACCTCCCTGTGGGCCATTCTCGAAGCTGCAAAACATTGTGGATGCGAAGGGCAATGTTTCACCTGAAGTTCGAGCGCAGAGACTAAAAGATGGTCGCAAACATCTGCGCACGGCAGTTTCAGCGTATGAGCATCAAATGAATGCTGGAAGGTACTTCTACCATGAGCACCCTAAAGGGGCCGCTTCGTGGGAAGAGAGAGCTGTGAAGAGACTGAGGGCAGATGAACGGGTGTATGAGGTCACTGGACCAATGTGCCGTTGGGGAATGAAGGCCGCCGATGGCCAAGGTGAAGGGTCAGTGAAGAAAGAAACTACCTGGCTCACGAACTCTCCAATCCTGGCACAGACCCTACAAGGGTGCTGTTCAAACAAAGAAGGCAAAGTTTGGCACCGCCATGTACATCTTGTTGATGGACGAGCCCGAGCTGCCCAGAAATACCCACCAAAGCTTGTCCACGCAATTCTCAAGGCCATTAGGCGCCAACTGGAATGTGATGGAGAACTACACTCACTTTCACATGGCCCAGTACCCGATGCTGGACCTGTGATCAATGAAGAGGAGGAGTTTTGGAAGCAGCTGCCCGACAGCGATGACACCATCGTGGAGCCAGTGCTTGACGCACACTCCGGTGCTGTCTTGGATGTTGACAAGGTCAGAGCTGCTCGACAAGAAGAACTAGCATGGGTACACAAACAGGGTATCTATATCAAAGTTCTACTCACAGAAGCCCAACAGTCTGGAAAACCGGTCATCACCATGAAATGGATTGACAGAAACAAAGGGGATGCAACACACCCCAACTACAGGTCACGTCTGGTCTGTAGAGAGATCAAACGGGCCAGCAATGCTGACTTCATTCCGGACTATGCGTCCTTCAGTTCGATGCCGCCTTTGGAATCGCTGAAATTGCTTCTATCGCTTATGGTGACTTTGAGACGATCCAAGTCTGGCAATGCACTGAAAGTTCGTCTTCTTGACATATCACGCGCTCACTTCTATGGAGAGGCAGAGCGTGATATCTTCGTGCAGTTACCTGAAGGAGATCGACAAGAAGGGTTTTGTGGCAAGCTCGTTAAGAGCATGTATGGAACACGCGATGCATCAGCGATCTGGCAAAGATCATATACAGAACTTCTCATCCGAGCTGGTTTTGCCAAGAATCAAGCTTGGCCATCCTGCTTTTACCATGAAGGTTACGGTGGTATTCGAGTTCTTGTACACGGAGATGACTTCGTGGTGCTTGCTGATGATGCTGGACAGAAATACCTTGAGGACACCTTGAGGTCCAAATATGATCTGCGGGTCGATGGATCGATCGGTCCTGGAGAACGGCATCAGCAGTTCGCAGTGCTCAATCGAATCGTGACCTACAACGAGCAGGAAGGCTCTGTATCCTATGAGGCGGATCCCCGCCACGTTGACCAGATGGTACGAGATCTAGAAATGGAAAACTGTAAGCCAGTCAAGACACCATCTGAGAAAATGTCAGCCACGGAGGCCAACTTGAAGTTGACCACCCCGACCATCACACCGGACCGTGTAAGTTTCTTCCGGTCTCTGGTGATGAGAGCGTCGTATGTGGCACAGGACAGACCTGACATCGCGGAGGCAGTGAAATGCCTATCAAGAAGAATGCATGAGCCCAAAGAATCTGACTTTCAGGATCTGAAACGCTAGGTGAGATTTCTGAAAGGGAAACCACGTGTACTTTTGAAGTTTGGTCGCCAGAAGTTTGCTGACACGATCCACATGTACGTGGACTCCGACTTCGCTGGGTGTCTTCTTACAAGGCGCTCAACAAGTGGACTTGTGGCAACCTTTGGCCGCCACACGGTGAAGGCCTCGAGCACTCTTCAGAGCACGATCAGCTTGAGTTCCGGTGAAGCGGAATACTACTCGATCGTTCGAGGAGTTTCCATCGGAATGTCGCTACAGGAGATCTTGCGAGGATGGGGCCTACAACCAAAACTTAAAGTGCACACAGATTAATCCGCTGCGCTGGGAACATGTAACCGTCAGGGCTTAGGCCGCTCACGGCATGTTCAAACTCGCTTTCTGTGGGTGCAAGAAAAGCTTGCACTACATGAATTCGAACTGGTGAAGATCCCGACAAAGCAGAACGTAGCTGATTTGTGCACCAAAGGTTTACCTGCGAATGAGATGGAAAGACACATGCAAAGCATGGGGTTCGAGTACTCTCATGGTAGAGCCGAAGCTGCAAAGGCTTTGGAATGAGTGTACATCAGCTTAGGAAAATCCCAGCCTCTGTACAGGAGGGGTGACGGGATATAGGGTTCTCACTAGTTGCTACGCCAACCTTTGGCTCAAGAACACCGCTGCTAAAATAGCGAGTTGCATATTCTCCGTTCATGTATGGTGTTTACTATGATTGAAACATATGCTTTATATGTGAATGATATAAAATATGTAAATATAATATGTATGGTTGGATAGTCAAACTCTAGATAGAATATCCTCTAGATCCATGAAAAGACTTAATTTTTAAAGGATGCTTGGAATTAAGCATGTATTTGTGGTGCTCCCTGCCCCTTCCTCCACATCTACCCATCCAAAGTTCATTCTTGGAGCTGTTTGAAAGCAAGCTTTAAAAGGAAAATGGCATTAAAAAAGTAGGAATCCAGGATCTTACCATCCAAAGTTGAAATTGCAGGTTTTTGAAAAGAAGCAACAAAAGGAAAATGGGATGAGAATTACCATTCAAAGTTCAGTCTTGCAGGTTTTTGAATAGAAAGCCGTGAAAGGAAAAGGAGATGAGAAAAGTACAGAAAAGTAGGAATCCAAGATCGACCATCCAAAGTTCATTTGTGCTAGTACTGTGCTAGGACAGTTGGGCAAAACTATAGACAGAATATCCTCTAGAACCATGAAAAGACTGAATTTTTAAAGGATGCTTGGAGTTGAGCATGTATTTGTGGTGTTCCCTGCCCCTTCCTCCACATCTACCCATCCAAAGTTCATTCTTGGAGCAGTTTGAAAGCAAGCTTTAAAAGGAAAATGGCATTAAAAAAGTAGGAATCCAGGATCTTACCATCCAAAGTTGAAATTGCAGGTTTTTGAAAAGAAGCAACAAAAGGAAAATGGGATGAGAAAAGAAGAAATCCACGATCTTACCATTCAAAGTTCAGTCTTGCAGGTTTTGGAATAATAGAAAGCCGTGAAAGGAAAAGGAGATGAGAAAAGTACAGAAAAGTAAAAATCCAAGATCGACCATCCAAAGTTCATTTGTGCTAGTACTGTGCTAGGACAGTTGGGCAAAACTATAGATAGAATATCCTCTAGAACCATGAAAAGACTTATTTTTTTAAGGATGTTTGGGATTAAGCATGTATTTGTGGTGCTCCCTGCCCCTTCCTCCACATCTACCCATCCAAAGTTCATTCTTGGAGCTGTTTGAAAGCAAGCTTTAAAAAGAAAATGGCATTAAAAAAGTAGGAATCCAAGATCTCACCATCCAAAGTTGAAATTGCAGGATTTTGAAAAGAAACCACAAAAGGAAAATGGGATGAGAAAAGAAGGAATCCACGATCTTACCATTCAAAGTTCAGTCTTGCAGGTTTTTGAATAGAAAGCCGTGAAAGGAAAAGGAGATGAGAAAAGTATAGAAAAGTAGGAATCCAAGATCGACCATCCAAAGTTCATTTTGTGCTAGTACTGTGCTAGGACAGTTGGGCAAAACTATAGATAGAATATCCTCTAGAACCATGAGAAGACTGAATTTTTAAAGGATGCTTGGAGTTGAGCATGTATTTGTGGTGTTCCCTGCCCCTTCCTCCACATCTACCCATCCAAAGTTCATTCTTGGAGCTGTTTGAAAGCAAGCTTTAAAAAGAAAATGGCATTAAAAACATAGGAATCCGAGATCTCACCGTCCAAAGTTGAAATTACAGGTTTTTGAAAAGAAACCACAAAAGGAAAATGGGATGAGAGAAGAAATTCTCCACGATCTTACCATTCAAAGTTCAATCTTGCAGGTTTTTGAAAAGAAAGCTGCGAAAGGAAAAGGAGATGAGAAAAGTATAGAAAAGTAGGAATCCAAGATCGACCATCCAAAGTTCATTTTTGCTAGTGCTGTGCTAGGACAGTTGGGCAAAACTATAGATAGAATATCCTCTAGAACCATGAAAAGACTGAATCTTTAAAGGATGCTTGGAGTTGAGCATGTATTTGTGGTGTTCCCTGCCCCTTCCTCCACATCTACCCATCCAAAGTTCATTCTTGGAGCTGTTTGAAAGCAAGCTTTAAAAGGAAAATGGCATCTAAAAAGTAGGAATCCAGGATCTTACCATCCAAAGTTGAAATTGCAGGTTTTTGAAAAGAAACAACAAAAAGAAAATGGGATGAGAAAAGAAGGAATCCACGATCTTACCATTCAAAGTTCAGTCTTGCAGGTTTTTGAATAGAAAGCTGTGAAAGGAAAAGGAGATGATAAAAATATAGAAAGTAGGAATCCAAGATCGACCATCCAAAGTTCATTTGTGCTAGTACTGTGCTAGGACAGTTGGGCAAAACTATAGATAGAATATCCTCTAGAACCATGAAAAGACTGAATTGTTTAAGGATGTCTGGGATTAAGATTAAGCATGTATTTGTGGTGCTCCCTGCCCCTTCCTCCACATCTACCCATCCAAAGTTCATTCTTGGAGCTGTTTGAAAGCAAACTTTAGAAGGAAAATGACATCTAAAAAGTAGGAATCCAAGATCTTACCATCCAAAGTTGAAATTGCAGGTTTTTGAAAAGAAGCAACGAAAGGAAAATGGGATGAGAAAAGAAGGAATCCACGATCTTACCATTCAAAGTTCAGTCTTGCAGGTTTTTGAAAAGAAAGCTGCGAAAGGAAAAGGAGATGAGGCCCAGTTTATAGCAAGAGTCGGCCTCCCCCCGGCTCGCGCCCATCCCTGTCGTTCTTTGTGGACGGGCGTGTGCTAGGACAGTTGGGCAAAACTATAGATAGAATATCCTCTAGAACCATGAAAAGACTGAATTTTTAAAGGATGCTTGGAGTTGAGCATGTATTTGTGGTGTTCCCTGCCCCTTCCTCCACATCTACCCATAAGCAAGCTTTGAAAGGAAAATGGCATTAAAAAAGTAGGAATCCAGGATCTTACCATCCAAAGTTGAAATTGCAGGTTTTTGAAAAGAAGCAACAAAAGGAAAATGGGATGAGAAAAGAAGAAATCCACGATCTTACCATTCAAAGTTCAGTCTTGCAGGTTTTTGAAAAGAAAGCTGCGAAAGGAAAAGGAGATGAGAAAAGTATAGAAAAGTAGGAATCCAAGATCGACCATCCAAAGTTCATTTTTGCTAGTGCTGTGCTAGGACAGTTGGGCAAAACTATAGATAGAATATCCTCTAGAACCATGAAAAGACTGAATGTTTAAAGGATGCTTGGAGTTGAGCATGTATTTGTGGTGCTCCCTGCCCCTTCCTCCACATCTACCCATCCAAAGTTCATTCTTGGAGCTGTTTGAAAGCAAACTTTAAAAGGAACATGGCATCTAAAAAGTAGGAATCCAAGATCTTACCATCCAAAGTTGAAATTGCAGGTTTTTGAAAAGAAGCAACAAAAAGAAAATGGGATGAGAAAAGAAGAAATCCACGATCTTACCATTCAAAGTTCAGTCTTGCAGGTTTTTGAATAGAAAGCTGTGAAAGGAAAAGGAGATGAGAAAAATACAGAAAGTAGGAATCCAAGATCGACCATCCAAAGTTCATTTGTGCTAGTACTGTGCTAGGACAGTTGGGCAAAACTATAGATAGAATATCCTCTAGAACCATGAAAAGACTGAATTGTTTAAGGATGTTTGGGATTAAGATTAAGCATGTATTTGTGGTGCTCCCTGCCCCTTCCTCCACATCTACCCATCCAAAGTTCATTCTTGGAGCTGTTTGAAAGCAAACTTTAGAAGGAAAATGACATCTAAAAATAGGAATCCAAGATCTTACCATCCAAAGTTGAAATTGCAGGTTTTGAAAAGAAACCACAAAAGGAAAATGGGATGAGAAAAGAAGGAATCCACGATCTTACCATTTAAAGTTCAGTCTTGCAGGTTTTTGAATAGAAAGCTGTGAAAGGAAAAGGAGATGAGAAAAGTATAGAAAGTAGGAATCCAAGATCGACCATCCAAAGTTCATTCTTGGAGCTGTTTGAAAGCACACTTTAAAAGGAAAATGGCATTAAAAAAGTAGGAATCCAAGATCTTACCATCCAAAGTTGAAATTGCAGGTTTTTGAAAAGAAGCAACAAAAAGAAAATGGGATGAGAAAAGAAGGAATCCACGATCTTACCATTCAAAGTTCAGTCTTGCAGGTTTTTGAATAGAAAGCTGTGAAAGGAAAAGGAGATGAGAAAAGTATAGAAAGTAGGAATCCAAGATCGACCATCCAAAGTTCATTTGTGCTAGTGCTGTGCTAGGACAGTTGGGCAAAACTATAGATAGAATATCCTCTAGAACCATGAAAAGACTGAATTTTTAAAGGATGTTTGGGATTAAGCATGTATTTGTGGTGCTCCCTGCCCCTTCCTCCACATCTACCCATCCAAAGTTCATTCTTGGAGCTGTTTGAAAGCAAGCATTAAAAGAAAAATGGCATCTAAAAAGTAGGAATCCAAGATCTTACCATCCAAAGTTGAAATTGCAGGTTTTTGAAAAGAAACCACAAAAAGAAAATGGGATGAGAAAAGAAGAAATCCACGATCTTACCATTCAAAGTTCAGTCTTGCAGGTTTTTGAATAGAAAGCTGTGAAAGGAAAAGGAGATGAGAAAAATATAGAAAGTAGGAATCCAAGATCGACCGTCCAAAGTTCATTTGTGCTAGTACTGTGCTAGGACAGTTGGGCAAAACTATAGATAGAATATCCTCTAGAACCATGAAAAGACTGAATTGTTTAAGGATGTTTGGGATTAAGATTAAGCATGTATTTGTGGTGCTCCCTGCCCCTTCCTCCACATCTACCCATCGAAAGTTCATTCTTGGAGCTGTTTGAAAGCAAACTTTCAAAGGAAAATGGCATCTAAAAAGTAGGAATCCAAGATCTTACCATCCAAAGTTGAAATTGCAGGTTTTTGAAAAGAAGCAACAAAAAGAAAATGGGATGAGAAAAGAAATAATCCACGATCTTACCATTCAAAGTTCAGTCTTGCAGGTTTTTGAATAGAAAGCCGTGCAAGGAAAAGGAGATGAGAAAAGTATAGAAAAGTAGGAATCCAAGATCGACCATCCAAAGTTCATTTTGTGCTAGTACTGTGCTAGGACAGTTGGGCAAAACTATAGATAGAATATCCTCTAGAACCATGAAAAGACTGAATGTTTAAAGGATGCTTGGAGTTGAGCATGTATTTGTGGTGTTCCCTGCCCCTTCCTCCACATCTACCCATCCAAAGTTCATTCTTGGAGCTGTTTGAAAGCATACTTTAAAAGGAAAATGGCATCTAAAAAGTAGGAATCCAGGATCTTACCGTCCAAAGTTGAAATTGCAGGTTTTTGAAAAGAAGCAACAAAAGGAAAATGGGATGAGAAAAGAAGAAATCCACGATCTTACCATTCAAAGTTCAGTCTTGCAGGTTTGAAAGGAAAAGGAGATGAGAAAAGTATAGAAAAGTAGGAATCCAAGATCGACCATCCAAAGTTCATTTTTGCTAGTGCTGTGCTAGGACAGTTGGGCAAAACTATAGATAGAATATCCTCTAGAACCATGAAAAGACTGATTTTTTAAAGGATGTTTGGGATTAAGATTAAGCATGTATTGGTGGTGCTCCCTGCCCCTTCCTCCACATCTACCCATCGAAAGTTCATTCTTGGAGCTGTTTGAAAGCAAGCTTTGAAAGGAAAATGACATCTAAAAAGTAGGAATCCAAGATCTTACCATCCAAAGTTGAAATTGCAGGTTTTTGAAAAGAAGCAACGAAAGGAAAATGGGATGAGAAAAGAAGGAATCCACGATCTTACCATTCAAAGTTCAGTCTTGCATGTTTTTGAAAAGAAAGCTGCGAAAGGAAAAGGAGATGAGAAAAGTATAGAAAAGTAGGAATCCAAGATCGACCATCCAAAGTTCATTTTGTGCTAGTACTGTGCTAGGACAGTTGGGCAAAACTATAGATAGAATATCCTCTAGAACCATGAAAAGACTGATTTTTTTAAGGATGCTTGGAGTTGAGCATGTATTTGTGGTGCTCCCTGCCCCTTCCTCCACATCTACCCATCCAAAGTTCATTCTTGGAGCTGTTTGAAAGCAAACTTTAAAAGGAAAATGACATCTAAAAAGTAGGAATCCAAGATCTTACCATCCAAAGTTGAAATTGCAGGTTTTTGAAAAGAAGGAACGAAAGGAAAATGGGATGAGAAAAGAAGGAATCCACGATCTTACCATTCAAAGTTCAGTCTTGCAGGTTTTTGAAAAGAAAGCTGCGAAAGGAAAAGGAGATGAGAAAAGTATAGAAAAGTAGGAATCCAAGATCGAGCATCCAAAGTTCATAATTGAAGGTTTTTGAATGGAAAACTGTGTTTGAAAGGAAGAGTGCATGAGAAAAGTAGGAATAGCTGATCTTACCATCCAAAGTTCATTCTCGCAGCTGTTTGAAAAGGAAACTTGGAAGGAAAATGGAAGGAAACAAATTGGAATGCACGATCTTACCATCCAAAGTTCATAATTGAAGGTTTTTGAATGGAAAACTGTGACAGGAAAAGGACATGAGAAAAGCAGGAATCAAACTTTGAAAGGAACATGGCATGAGAAAAGCTGGAATCCACGATCTTACCATCCAAAGTTCACAATTACAGATTTTTGAAGGGAAAAGTGTGAAAGGAAAAGGAAATGAAAAAAGTAGGAATCTACGTCTACGATCTTACCATCCAAAGTTCATTTTTTGCAGCTGTTTGAAAAGGAAAATTTGAAAGAAAAAAATAAATTGGAAGGTTTTGAAAAGGAAAGGAAAAAAAAACACATTTTGAGCATCCTGGAGTAGATTTTGGAATATTCTATCTAGGGGGTCCGAATATATAGTTTAGTATTGGGTCAAAAAACACTGGGTTTTTTCAAAAAAAAAACGCCCCCTACGAAACTGGATTCTATCTACTCCAGGATTGTTATATATATATGTGTGTGTGTGTGAATAAGGATTTAACAACGAAAATTGAGGTGTATTTGCAAATATTCATTGCAGAATCATGGGAAAAATGGGAGTTGACAACCGAAGCATGGATTTAACAGAGAGACAAACATGATTTATTGGCGATTCAATATAACTCTGATTTAAATAAACAAATAACAATACACGATAATACTACATGTATATAATTTGAGTTCGGCTCAACACTCAAACCATTGTGAAGATTCCTATAAAGCCTATAAATGAAAAACATCAGACCATGTCGGGATGTTCACTTACCAATTGACTATTTTTTTTGGGGTGGTTGATCAATTTCTGGCGCCAATTTGTCTGCTGTTTGGGGAGGTTTTATTACTGTCGGAATCTGTCGGACCTGAACATTGCTTCATCTTTGTTGCAATCGTGCACCAATGAAATTGTAATAGCTTTGAGAAAGAATATGAAAGTCACTGGGTGTCATCATTGAATAGTTCACTGGTTTGGGTTGGTGCTTTGGGTGATGTAAACCCCCAGTGGCTTTCCACCAGTATTCTGACGTGGTGAAGTCAGACATTTCCACTGTATGTTTCATGTGTATGTGATAGACTCATATTTATAATCATCCTTTTGATGATTAAATAATGAACATGTATGTCATCGTCAGTTCAGTGATTCAATTCCAACCATTTCTGTTGCCACCACCAATCAAGACATATCTGGCCCAGGAACGGTCAAACGTTCAGGGCCGCCACGGGGTCGCATGTCTAAAATCATCTCCTGAGGCGATTTGGACATTTGGACATTGAAAGCGTAGAGGGGATCACCAAGGGTTTGTTCCTGGAGAATTTCCAGGAATTTCCTACATTTTCTAATGGTTCTTGGAATGCTATGTTTATGTGCTACAGTCATTGTATTCTCTATCTATTGTAATTCGATTATATATGGTTTTTCGGAACTGTCTTCAAACAAGTGGTGAGTGCAAAATATGGGATTTTGGACTTGCAAACATGTTGAAGGAAACATGTTGTCTGAATCGATCTGGGCCATGTTTTCCACTTGAAATTCTGAACTTTAACATCCCTATTCACAAGCAATAAGGTGAGAAGGCTGTACCGCTGGCCTCTCATTATTCCAGCACGCTATCGAAAGAAAGCACTGTTGCAAAATCATCGAAAATCATCAAAAATCAACAAACGACCCTCCTTTCCACCAGGCTTATCAACCCAGGAATGCTTTCAGGCATCGTTGTAGGCGGCCAAGCTGAGTTTGCCACTCACACTCCACGGTCGCTCCTGGCCATTCCATGGCTTGAGAAGCGGACAAACCAAGAAGTGCTGTGGACCTAGTGATGGTGAAGTTCCACTCTGCATGGTTAGCGCATGCTACTGAATTTATGGTCGAATCAAATCTTTCGAAACCCCAGGTTTTCCATTGTTCTACACCTCAAACACGACTCTTTGCGACCCCCAAAGCTGTAACATAATCCACTCAATGTAGTTCCACCCAGCTGTAAGTTGGCTTATAATGCCATTAACTAGTTCGATATATCTACCATAAGTCGTAGTTATAGCGGTTTCTTAGCTATCCTAAATCAGCTATAACTCCCATTACAGTAAATCCTGATTTTTCCCCACCTGCCAGGTGAAGGTCTCTAGATTTTTTTAACAAAGGTGCAACTCATCCTTCTTCTTCTCCTCCTCCTCTTCTTCTTGTTCTTCTTCTTCTTCTCCTTCCGCCCACTCTTCCTCCTACTCTAACTTTCCTCCTTTGCTCCTGGTGTGCTCCTCTTGCGGCTCGGCGTGACTGTGGGTTTCAATTGCGTCAGAAATGCCAGAATAGATGATGTCAAATACATTAGCCAGAACATCTGCCAGATCAAATGTCAGAATATATGATGTCAAATAAATTGTCCGATGGAAAGGAAGATAGACTTTCCGAATATGTGCCAGATCAAAGGTCAGCGACCCCGGAAAATGTTTCCATCATCCACTCGATGTGGTGCCTCCCCAGTTATAAGTTGGCTTATCATCCCATTAACTAGTTCGATCTACCTGCCAAAAAAGTCCTATAGTTATCAAGCCACTTAAGTATCATAAATCAGCCTTAAGAAAAAAAATGACATGCCCATTTTTCTGGGCGAAAGTCGCATTTTCCCATGGTTTCCTTAACGGTTTCCTTAACGGTGTCCTTAACGGAAACACCGGGGGGCACCGGGTGGCACCTTCTCGCCATTGCCGCAGCCGGGTTTTCCTTCCGCGGCCTCGATGGTCACCTGTGTGTTTTGTGATTGAAGGTAGGTAATTATTTTATTTGGATGTTTCCTAACTCATGGGGGTACCCCCAAATCATCCAAGTCCTCAGACCATGTGAGTATTTTGAAACCCATGGTGACTTGAGAATCCCATTTGAACAATATTGATAATTCATGATAGTCAAACTATGGGCTCTACAATCTCTCCATTCATCATGTCGGGTTGTATCAACAACTGTGGGACAGAATTTAGACCTTCGCATCTGGGTGACCACAAAAAGTTATTGTCAAGTCTCATCCCCCAAAATGCTGCATATGCTCTCATGGGTATTGAGAAATCTCAAGATCTGAAGATTCAAAAACCCCGCGCTTAATCATGATTTTCCTTGGTCAACCCGCCATTAGCTGGGCCATCTCTCTATTTTTTGGACAAACCAATCAACATTTTTTGGCTGCCCAGGACCACTCGTGAGGTTGAAACGCCAGGTCACTTTCATGCCTTCCACTCGCACTTCTCTCTTACACCCAGGATGGTCTGGATCTTCATATGCGCCTGCAGTCGTGGGTGCGTCAGCTAGGCAGCTTGGGAAATGTCAAGTCACAGCTTGGGAGCCTAATGGTAGGATGTTCGACCTGTGCATGGTGCAAAGTGGTGCCCCATAGTTGGCTAAGTCGGTTTAGAACCCCCATTAACTATAGGCACAAGTACGTACATTGTTCATAAACCCTAGCTGTTCGAGCTATAAACCAACTTGAGACTTGGCTAATTATGGGGTACCACGATTGTAGTTCCCCCCTTACAAAAGCATGATACAAAATCAGAACTGGCAAACCCTGGGCTCCTTGACTCCTCATTTGGAAGGGATATTCATTATCGCTAGCCCCAAACAACGCCTCCAATACTGCCGAATTGCATCAAATTGCATCATCAGTGTGTGCTTGCTTATTTTTATAGTGACTAGTGACCACCCCCCCCAAAAAAAAAAACAAATATGAACAGAGTGACTCGAAATAGCAGTGTTTTGCTGTGCCATCCCTTTGGTTCGAAAAAATGATCTCACCTTGCCAGTCAGGTACTTGCGCGTTGCTCGCTTCAGGCCTCAGGTGTGTTCCAATCGTAGCATGATATGTTGTGGTTCTGCTCGCAATAGTAGGATATGCTACAGTAAACATTTATGTATATTTATATACTTCCATGGCGAAGCCAACTTGGTTTGATGATGAATATAGGTCAACATTAAAACTGATTCGAATCGAGTCCATCAAATTGCAAAACAAAATAGGCAAGTCATCCAGCTGGAATCATCAAATACGTGATCCTTTTTGTCCAGCTCGATGTTTGGAAAATATGGTGTTTAATGGTCTTTTCGTCACAGTGGGGGATCCGAACGCAACTACCACTGACCTGTGTTTTCTCCATTGTCTTGTGAAAATTCATGGGATAAGAACAGACTGGCTTCAAACCCTGGTTTTTGTATACATTTTTGCCACCAAACATTCTGGGGATGTGTCATTCCCAGCTCTAATAAGCCTGTCAAAAGGTGATGTTTTTCAGGGTGACAGTAGCCATGATGTGCGAAAAATTGACCCAAGTCACGTACCTTTTCCAGATGAACCAGTTCAGGCAACCTAAAGGTCAACCTCAAATGTTCAGCAAATTAAAACGCTTAACAAACAAACAGTTCTGGGACAATTTGTTCCTATCATTTCCTCCCCAATATTCAGATACAGCCTCAGAAAACCTTGAATCATCTGAATCTGTTCACCCTTTGAAAGGACCTCTTGGGCCCAAACCCGGAGAACGTCTCGCAATCCAACAAAAACGAACAGCAACTCTCGAAAAAAGTCTCTTCGCACAATTTTCATCGGATTTTACTCTTCAATCAATCTTTTTGGGTTGTGCTACCCTCTGGTACTTTAACATAGCTAATGGCTAATTAATTGTTTTGTTCGTTGGTTTACCTATTTAAGAATGGTGATGTTCCATAGTTTTGGTACCAGTAGTACCGCACAAGGCGGTGGCGGAAATTTCAAAAATAGCAAACCTATAGGAGAGCTTGGTTGTTGTGAATCACGGATGGCAGAGAGAAACCACTGATGGACCGAAAGGTGTTTGAGGTCTCCTCTCTTTCTCTCTCTTTCTCTCTCTTTCTCTCTCTTTCTCTCTCTTTCGCTCTCTTTCTCTACCTACCTACCTACCTACCTACCTATTCTATGCATCCATCCATCCATCCATCCATCCATCTATCTATCTATCTACCTATCTATCTATCTATATCTATCTATCTATCTATCTTTCTTTCTTTCTTTATCTATCTATCTATCTATCTATATCTATCTATCTATATCTATCTATATCTATCTATATCTATCTATATCTATATCTATCTATATCTATCTATATCTACCTATATCTATCTATATCTATCTATATCTATCTATATCTATCTATATCTATCTATATCTATCTAGGTCTGTCTATATCTATCTATATCTATCTATATCTATCTATATCTATCTATATCTATCTATATCTATCTATATCTATCTATATCTATCTATATCTATCTATATCTATCTATATCTATCTATATCTATCTCTCTCTCTCTCTTTCCCTCTCTCTCTCTCTCTATCTCTCTCTATCTCTCTCTATCTCTCTCTCTCTCTCTGTCTCTCTCTCTCTCTCTCTCTCTCTCTCTCTCCCTCCCTCCCTCTATCTATCTATCTACCTATCCATCCATCCATCCGTCCACCCATCCATCGATCTATCTATCTATCTATCTCTCTCTCTGCCTATCTATCTATCTATCGATCTATCTATCTATCGATCTATCGATCTATATATCAATATATCTATCTATCTATCTACCTATCTTTCTTTCTTTCTATCTATCTATCTATCAATCTATCAATCTATCAATCTTTCTCATCTATCATCTATTTCATCTATCTCATCTATCTCATCTATCTCATCTATCTCATCTATCTCATCTATCTCATCTATCTCATCTATCTCATCTATCTCATCTATCTAATCTATCTATTCTATCTAATCTATCTAATCTATCTAATCTATCTAATCTATCTAATCTATCTAATCTATCTAATCTATCTAATCTATCTAATCTATCTATCTATCTATTTCTTTCTATCTATCTATCTATCTATCTGTCTGTCTGTATATCTATCTATCTATCTATCTGTCTGTCTGTCTATCTATCTATCTACCTTTCTATCTATCTATCTATCTACCTATCTATCCATCCATCCACCCATCCATCTATCTATCTCTCTGCCTATCTATCTATCAATCTATCAATCTATCAATCTTTCAATCAATCAATCAATCAATCAATCTATCTATCTATCTCTCTCTCTCTCTCTCTCTCTGTCTCTCTGTCTGTCTGTCTGTCTGTTTGTCTGTCTGTCTGTCTGTCTGTCTGTCTGTCTATCTGCAAGCTTGAAAACGAAGCTAATCCTTTCCCCCTATTACTAAATGTCCCCCAAATACTACAAACTAGGGTCCATCTCCCAGTTTAGAAATTTCAGGTTGGCCAATTTGACTTTTAATTTATCCCCTTTAGAAAACAATTTAAAAATAAAGCTACCATTTGTGGGTTTTGCCTCCTAATAATAAAAACTAGTTAACCCCGGGGTGTTTATTATTAGGGTCCGTCCGATTTTTTTTAATTTTGGTTTTCAATTTATTATTAGGGCCCTCTTCGAAAACCAATTTGTGGCATTTTTTTGAATTGCATTACACAAGGGAATTTAATTGATTTTGAAATCGAACAAACTAGTTTTGAGCATTAAAGTTTTTATTTATTAATAGGGTCCGCTTCGAAATCCAATTGTTGGCAATATTTTAATTGCGTTATATATGGAAATTTAATTGATTTTGAAATCGAACAAATTAGTTTTTAGTATTAAGGTTTTAAATTTATTAATAGGGTCCGCTTCGAAATCCAATTTTTGGCAATATTTTAATTGCGTTATATATGGAAATTTAATTGATTTTGAAATCGAACAAATTAGTTTTTAGTATTAAGGTTTTAAATTTATTAATAGGGTCCGCTTCGAAATCCAATTTTTGGCAATATTTTAATTGCGTTACATAGGGAAATTTAGTTGATTTTGAAATCGAACAAATTAGTTGTTAGCAGTAAGGTTTTAAATTTATTACTGTAATAGGATTCCCTAATAATAAATACAACCCTAATAATAAAAACTACCTGAAGTTTTTATTGATAGGGGAGGGGGGGACGTTTAGTATTAGGGGGAAGGGATTATTCTGCGAGACTTCCTCAGTTTTTCACCTTGACAACATCAAAAACGCAGCAATTCAGCGAAACTTCTGCAATTTTTGCACTTGACAACATCAAAAACGAAACAATTCTGCAAGACTTCCTGATTCTTTTTAGTTGACAACATCAAAAACGAAACAATTCTGCGAGACTTCCTCATTTTTCGAAGTTGACAACATCAAAAACTGAGTGCAGAGCTGACGGCCTCCTACCAGTGCATTTTGCGATTTTTCCAGTCAACCTGTCTAAAGTACTGCGCCTGCCACGAAAAAGTGATGCCAGGTCATACGAAGTGCTGCACCTGTCACGCAAAATCATCTCAGCATATCTCAGCAAACCTGAAGATCTGATGCTCCAAAATGCAACCCCTCTCAGGAAATCAGCGCCCGGACTTCCTAACAGCTCTGATGAACATGTCTCTTGTACTGCGCCTGCCAAGGAAAATGCATCTTTGCAGACCCTCTTCAAACGTCCCACGCCTGCCATTGTTTTTGGAAATGCTACAAAACCTTCACGTTTTGCTCACTTTTGATAAGGCGCACAATCCCTTGTGCCTGCCACGCAAAACGACATCTGAACGTCCAAAAGTGGTCCGAACCCCTAGTGTTTTTTTAACATTTTGACTTCGAAATGTGCTTCGCGCCACAACGGCGTGCACTTTTTCGACATCTCAACTTCCAAAAAGTGGTCCGGACCTGGTGTGTTTTGTACATTTTGACTTGGAAACGTGCTTCGCGCCAGAACGGCATGCACTTTTTCGACATCTCAACTTCCAAAAGTGCTCCGAATGTGAGGTGGTTTTTGCTTTTTCACTTGCAAATGTGCTTCGCGCCACAACGGCGTGCACTTTTTCGACATCTCAATTTCCAAAAGTGGTCCGGACCTGGTGTGTTTTGTACATTTTGACTTGGAAATTTGCTTCGCGCCACAACGGCGTGCAATTTTTCATCTCTCATCTGGCCAACTGGCTCCGCACCCGCCGCTTTAGCGAGCCTACTTTGCGACCCTCCGGAGCCTCAAATCATTGGAAAAACACATTGTTTCCCCACTTTGCTACCTTTTCGCGCACCTGGATCTTCTTTCTTCTGACTATTTCTCTTTCTTCTTCTCTTCTCTTCTCTTCTCTGACTCTTCCCATCTCTGCTTTTCATCTGTCCATGTTGTCGGAAGTTTGCAGTTTGACTTCTAAACTTCCTCCGACCAGAGGGTACATTGCCATATCAAAGGGACATCACAGCCCAGGCACACGAGTGCCGGCAGCACGGCGCCCGCCAGCATCTCGCGACGGCGGCAGCGGGTGCTTGTGGTGTCCATGGAGCCGGAGCTGAGAAAATTGTAGGTCCTTGGCGAGAACGCGTTAGGTATTGGGAACCCTTTGGTAAACATACAAACAAATATGGATCACATTTTTTAATAATTAGGTAAGTCAACGAACTAAATAGCCATATTATGCCATATTCAATAGCCATGTTAAAGTACCAGAGTGTATCGATATCCGTCCAAACGTGTCGTATCCGTGAAAACAAACTAGCATCTCCGCCCGCCCTGCCCGCCCCAACGCGGTGGTAGCCCCCAGTGATGTGTGTTGGTTAACAAACACTAAGCTACATCGTTATATCTACATCTACCATAGACCCAGTAAATATTAGAGTTATAAACCAAACTTAGCTAACGAACTGGAAAGCCACCTTGTCTCCCCCTACTATTTTCCATAGATCCTCCGATGTCATGGTGCGTCATGATCATTCAAAATATCCTCATATACAGATCCATCAATCCTCCAGGATGATCGTCAACCTTCCATTTTCCCATTAAATCCCTCTCTGTCCCTCTATGGTTGATAGCCCCATTTGGTTCAGGTTTTGGCTGGCGAGTCTCCATGACAACGTCAGCATCAAAGGCACAAGGAGCACCTTGGGACGAAGCATGGCAAGACTTGCTGCGGAAAACGAACGTCAAAACACGGCAATGTTCAACTGCTGGGTTTATGATAGATATATCTATAAGCTAGAGTGAATGGTGGTTTGAAACCAATTTATAACACTGGGCAAGGTAGGATGGACAAAAATACTCCAACCCACCAATCATCTTCGACACTGGATACTTTCCTCAAGCAAACTGTTTCCGATCTATTAAACCTATCCAAGCTAAAAGAGTTTATCAACGTCTCCGTCCTTCGGTCTGAATAGTTGGCCAGAAAACCTTTACCTATAGTTTCATGCCATCAAATCCCCAATCTGAGCAATCAGGTCTAGAGACGCGGTATGAAATCGCGAAATAACATTAATGCAAAGGACAGGAAACAACATGTCCCATATCAGGATTGTCTCCAAAATCCCAATCTGTCATGGCCAACTTTGCCAAACACAGGAAACATTTTGTCGTGGAATATGAAGTATCCCTCCCCCGATAGCTAAATCAACCCATAAACACAGCATCGGCGCCTCATTTCCCTGGTCTTGTTGATTGTCACCTGGCTAGTTTTGATAATTACTGAATACCCTCCGAGAACCTGCTCTGGTTCAGCTCTGAACCTATTCATTTTACATATTTAATTTTAAGTCCCATGGGGTGGTATGTCATAATTGTGGGACAGGATTTAATACTATACTTATGCAATGTCAAATCAAGCACTAAGATTAATCCAGCTTGGTGGGATCCCCTGATATCGCCGCGTATGTGAGCACAGTCCGGTTGCCTATTGATAAACTCCTCCGTTTTTATTGCTAAAATCTCAAAATTGCTCAAAATTGCTTCAAGCCGCCCATGTCTGTACATTTTTGGTGACTAAGAACTGTTTGTGTGTCTCTTTGAACATCATTTTTCTGGCTAAATTAAAATAGTTCAACTAAAATAATGATGAGCTATTAAATAAGGCTTAGCAACCCCAAAGCCAACAGAAAAGTAGGAAAACTGGAAATATGTCAATATTGTTAAATTATCACCCATAACCTCCTGGAACCACGTGTTTCTATTTCCCCACCTGCCAGGTGAGGGTTGTTAGATTTTATCACAGTTGTTCTCCTCATCCTCCTCCTCGGCTAGCTATCCTCCTCCTGCTCCTCCTGCTCCTCCTCCGCCAGCATCTCCTCCACCACCTCTGCCTCCACTTCCACGTCCACTGTTGCCTTGCCAACTCTTCGCCAAGCTCTTCGCCAACGTCCGAGCTCAGTGTGCACCGCTTCCCAGCTCAGTGGGCACCGCTGGACCTCAACCTGGGACCTGCCCAGCTCAGTGTGCACGGCTGGGCCTCAACCTGGGACCTTCCCAGCTCAGTGTGCACTGCTGGACCTCAACCTGGGACCTTCCCAGCTCAGTGTGCACCGCTGGACCTCAACGGCCAGATAGAATGCCAGAAGATATGCCAGATAAAGTGCCAGAAGATATGCCAGATAGAATGTTAGAAGATATGCCAAATAGAATGCCAAAAGGTATGCCAGATAGAATGTTAGAAGATATGCCAGATAGAATGCCAGAAGGTATGCCAGATAGAATGCCAGATAAAATGCCAGATAGAATGCCAGAAGATATGCCAGATAGAATGCCAGATAAAATGTCAAATAAAATGCCAGAAGATATGCCAGATAAAGTGCCAGAATGTTTGCCAGATAGAATGCCAGAAGATTTGAGTAGATAATATGCCAGAAGATATGCCAGATAGAATGCCAGATAGAATGCCAGAAGATATGTCAGATAGAATGCCAGAAGATTTGCCAGTAACAACATGTAACATGTCATGGTGGGGATCACACGAAGTAAAGTAATTAGGATTTTTGGGGGTGGCTATACAGTAAATCCTGCCGAGTATCCAGGTGCGCTCGCCGAGTCTTCAACGCCATGGCGGGCGAGGAGGTTGGATGATTTGATGAATTTTTGGGTGGGCTGGAAATGGCTGGAAAGTTATCATGAGACACTGGTTGGTGGTATACCTGCCCCTCTAAAAAATATGAAAGTCAGCTGGGATTATGAAATTCCCAATATATGGAATAATAAAAAATGTTCCAAACCACCAACCAGGACATAACTTTTGCCCCATTTTTCTGGATCTGATAAAATCTGATGACCCAATTCCTGAAGGATCTGAGCTAATTTGACACACACACACATCGCATCTATGGCCCATCAAGTTGGAGGGTCGTATAGCCAGCTGTCTTCCAGGACCTTTGCTGCAAGCAAATGTTAGCGGCCACAAGTGGCACTGAATTGAATACACTGATACTGTGCCAGAAAACTGTTGAATCCTGGCCCTTCAACACACAGGCAAAAGCAAGAAAAACAAACAAAGACATGATGCTGTGTGCCACAAAGCAATTGACAAAAAAACGACAATGATTGGAAGGTTCGCACTTTACCACAAGTGCTACGCTGGAGAGCCCAAATCTGCGGAAAGAATATTTGGCGGACTGCCAGCATGTCCCTCTCAAGCATTGGCCAGTTGGAAGAGTATCTCCCAATTCTTTGGAAACCATGAAGCTTGGGTGCCAGGGTAGCCAAGACATTGGGGCTGGCCTGAAATTCCAAGAAATTTTGCGGAGGTTCTCCCGCCACTAAACATCAGTTGGGGCAAATTTGGGGTCAAGTTGCCTGTTGTAAGTTATTCTAATTCACCTGCCGATTGTCTGGGCTTGCCTACACCTTCATGACATACAGGTCAGAAATGATCTTTTTTTCATGCAAGCAACGTGAACTGTCTCGAATGCAGAAATTTAAGGTACATCTGTCTCAGGATTGTATGAATACAGGCCTCCCTTTCTTTGTTGTTTCATCCGTGCGAAGGTAGAGACTTGACCTGCCTGGAAACCACCTGCAGAGACTATGAACAGCTTCCAAACTAAGTAAGCATTAAGAAAAATGAATATAAATATGTAGTAACTGCCAAAACTGTCGTTATTGACTTATTACATTATGCAACTATTATGATATGTATATATATATATGTGTGTGTGTGCATGTATTGTATATTTATATAGATGTGTGTGTATTGGATTGTTGTGGATTACTACAAATAAGTCTTATATTCAATAAATAAAATTAAATATATATATATATATATTAATTTATATTCAACTCCAAAAATACCCCCGGTCGTACCGCTCAAAAGGGTCCAGTCCTGGAAAAAAATGCCTTAAATCGTTTGGTCCACAACCTTTTGGAATTGATTTCCAAAGGGTACAACCCAACAGATTTAAGCCAACAACCAAGTTGCAATTTCCCGGGCAAACAAATTAAAATCCTGTTCCACAACCTTTATGTGGACTAACATTTCTCCTGGCCCACCATTGCGCTGACACAACTCTTTTCCTGGGTCATAACCTTTATGATGATACATGTGTACCTACCCCATTCAGATCGTCAAGTCGATTGAATTGGAAGATCACGACCTTTCAAAAACTGCTGAGGGTTTGGCATAAACACTTTTCTTGTCATATAATTCAAATCCTGGGTCACAGGGTTTCCACCGGCTCCATCATTTTTTTGCTCGCATGCTGTCAAGATCTTTCAAGACGGGGAGATGGATGACACTAGGCTTTGGAGGTCCAGAACTGTCTCTCTCTCTCTCTCTCTGTTGGAAATGACCAGAAATGATGTGTCCTCTCTACATGATTGTTGATCCCCGTCGGTACAAAAACGTGGGGTACAGTCCTAGAAAAAAATCGGTCTAAAATGATGACCCCTAACCTTTGAGAGAGGTTTTAGAGCTTTAAATTCCTGGCTCCTAACCTCTGAAGCCGAAATCTCACTTCCAACCACCTTTTTGAATTTTCTTTGCTAATTTCGTGGTGCCCAACGTCCAACATCCAATAAATTTACCCCTCTCATATCCAAGTAAAAAAAAATATTTCCTGGATGCTTGCGTTGGTAACATGCCATATCTTCCCCCCCTCAATCTGATACGGAAAAAAAATGAATTCCTGGCACCTGACTTCCCGGCTGACAGCTCGCAGTTTTTCAGAGTCCACGGCTTCACGAGTGCGGTCCGGCAGATGCCCACGGCAATGCACAACCCTTTTGCATGGACAAATGTATCTTCAGGAAAAAAACGCCTGTTTTGCAATTTGGCCACACGTTGGAACAAAATTCTTCAATTCGTCCCATCATTTCCTATCTATGGATGGTTGACCTGGTGATGCGATTTTTTTCCTGTGGGGTCAGCCTTTGAAGATCATCCACAAGAATTCGGCCAAAAAAAGGTCCAGCCCCTTGGATTTTATTTTTGACACCTGCGCCTCGGCCTCTTCAAGTCACCTTTTTTTGGTTGGTGAAGCTGAAGATATGTGGTTGTACCCTTTTGCAAGGACAAATGCATTTTCAGCAAAAAACATATGTTTTGTAATTTGGGCGCGCGTTGACACAAAATTCTTGAATTCGTCCCATCATGTCCTATCTGTGGATGATTGGCCTGGTGATGCGACTTTTTTCCTGTGGGGCCAACCTTTGAAGATCATCCGCAAGTATTCAGTCAAAAAAGGTCCAGCCCCTTGAATTTTATTTTTGACACGTGCGCCTCGGCCTCTTGAAGTCACCTTTTTTGGTTGGTGAAGCTGAACATATGTGGTTGTACCCCTTTTGCAAGGACAAATGTCTTTTCAGAAAAAAAAACGCCTGTTTTGCAATTTGGGCGCGTTGGACACAAAATTCTTGAATTCGTCCCATCATGTCCTATCTGTGGATGATTGGCCTGGAGATGGGATTTTTTTCCTGTGGGGTCAGCCTTTGAAGATTATCCCGCAAGTATTCAGTCAAAAAAAGGTCCAGCCCCTTGGATTTTATTTTTGACACCTGCGCCTCGGCCTCTTCAAGTCACTTTTTTGGTTGGTGAAGCTGAACATGTGTGTCTGTACCCTTTTGCAAGGACAACTGTATTTTCAGCAAAAAAAACATGTGTTTTGCAAATTGGGCGCGCGTTGACACAAAATTCTTGAATTCGTCCCATCATGTCCTATCTGTGGATGATTGGCCTGGTGATGCGACTTTTTTCCTGTGGGGCCAACCTTTGAAGATCATCCGCAAGTATTCAGTCAAAAAAGGTCCAGCCCCTTGGATTTTGTTTTTGACCCCTGCGCCTTGGCCTCTTGAAGTCACTTTTTTTGGTTGGTGCAGGTGAACATATGTGTTTGTACCCTTTTGCAAAGTCATGTAAAGAATCATACCCCCTCAAGTAATCATGGTACATTTTTTCCTGGGGTTTGACATTTAGATATGTTCTAGTAAACTCCCATTTGATCCATCCACCTTCAAATTCCTGGCTACTAACCTTGGGAATTCTACAAACTTACCCGTTATCAGAGTCATTCATGATTGATTTCCTGATGCCTTACATACACAGACTGATAGATCAACCCCATCAATCACAACAGACAGAAATTGATTTCCTGCCACTGTACGTCAGGAAGCTTTCAGGAAAAAAAACTGGGCCTTTTTTGGTATGATATTTGATTCCTGGCCCCGTATCATGCCCCTGGACCCTCACCCACTGTCTGCTAGATTTTTGGAAAATAGTGTTTTTTAAAAAGCGTACTGAACCCCCAGGAAAAAAAAACTGGTAGTACAGAGGAGGATATTGTTGAAGAAAACCATACGGAGTTCATAACTGCTCAAAATTAAAATCCAGTGAAGCTATCGGATTCAACCTTTTTACAAACCACTGAAATGCATTAAAAAGTATGATCACAACCTTTATGTAGATCCTACCCTCTCCTGTTCGACAGATTGGCCCAGAGATTTTTTTCCTGTACCCCAACCTTGTTTGGAAAACCATGCAATCCTGGCAAGCAAATCTTCGAAACATATAAAATCCTGTGGTACAACCTCATGTTACTAATCCTGCTTTCCTGGCTCCAACATTTGTTTTCCTGAACCCCAACCTTGCGACATCCATTTTTTGATGATTTTTACCTGACTTGGCATTTTTATTCGCCGAAGTGGAGTCACAGGAAAAAAATTACCGGTACAACGGGGGCTCCAAAAATGGCACAATTTTCTCTGGTTGGTGGCTTTCAGCCCATCCGCAAACATATCAGCCAGTTGGGGAGCATAATCCTAAGCCTAAACGTGGTTGGTGGTTGACCTACCCCTCTGAAAAATGATGGAGTGAAAGTCAGCTGGGATGATGAAATTCCCAACCGAATGGAAAAATAATCCACATGTTCCAAACCACCAACCAGTATATATATATATATAACTAACCAGTCAAACATTTGTTGAAGCATGTATGTTTGAGCCAGCCCATGACTTCATGTCTGAGTCCCGCCTGCACCACAGCCACTCGGCAAGCCAAATGCTCCTGTGGGCCACTGCAGGGCGGAGGGAATCTGAGGGAACCAATGGTTGTTCTGACCGTGCTCACAAATGGAGGTTTCCTAGTTATTGGTAATTTCATGTCACTTCTTTTGCCGAATGTACCAATCTCTGGCAAATGCCTGGGGGTTCATCAGGAAAACTTGGCTTTCAAGAACATGTGCAAATGGCATTTCATGCTAGAGGTCCTGCCTGTTTGAAGAATTTTTGAAAAGAATATTGCCTAAGATTCCCAAGATTTATATCTTCGACTGGCTGAAACACATGAAGAAACTGCTTGTGGCATGATCTCAAGGGTGAAAGCTGAGACTGTGCAGGAAACCGCACGAGCCAAAGAACTATGAATAGTTATGAATCTGGCCCGACCGATTTCTTTGGGGGGTTACTTTAAGTAATGTCAACCCTTGATTAATAAACCCCTAGACTGTTTAATTGGGAGGGATACCATTTATGTATCATCTTGTGACTATTTGGAGGCTACCCGCACAATTAATATAATTAAATGGATTCCCCAATATGTTCCCAATGTTTTCCCAATTTTTCCCAAGATTTTGCCAAGTCCATTTGGATTCCATAAACCGGCCAGCTCCTCCACCAGAACTTTGGACAGCAAACCTAGCAGCGACTTAGCTTCCCCACTCCAGCCTGACGTCGAACATGGTGTGTTTTTTGAGGGCATGAACGGCCTGGACATTTTAGCACTGAATACCCCAACCTTGGAAATGAAAAACGCAAGATCATACCCTAAATCCAATGATTTCTGATCATTTTCCCTACTAAAGGGGGTTTCCTAAGTCATGGGGGTACCCCAATTAGCTGGAGTGTTTTTTGCCATGGAAAATGCCAAAATACCATGGAAATGGCCGTGTGATAGAGAGGTGAAATGAAAAAGCATCTTCCACTTTATTGCTATGATTGTGGTTATTCACCATTATTCTGCCCAGCCAAGAATATTTCAGAATATAACAACCACAAACACTACTGTATATTTACCAAATAGTTGCTAGCTGGTTCAATGGTGTTTTTCTTACCCGTTTCACGGTGATTCTTTGCAGTATACAGAAGGAATCCAAGCCCAACCTACCAATTACCATCAATAATGAAAGAGGTATAGTCAGGTACAGTCCCCAAACCATTGGAAAAAAAACCACCTGGGCCAACAAAACTCCCTATGAATGTGATGTGGCAGGACGTTATCTGGTTGATGGGCCCCATGGGGCCCATGGGGATATTCATCTCCCCACAACGCGATCGAACACAGATCGCCATCGCAATCGGTGAGCTTCGGTGGCTGCTCCCCGGATTTTTAAAAAACTGCTCTGGCTGACTCATAATAAAGGGGTTTATATAATAAAAATCTGTATTACCCTCTGGTCATTGAACGTAGCTATGGAAAATCAGAATTTTGAAAGGTAATGAAATCATCTAGAAATATCTAGAAATGAAACATTCTTCCATCGCTATACTAAATTACCCGAGGGTAGCATAGGAGAATGTAATCCTTTTTTTCCACCAGCGGACCTTGACACTACCTGTTTCGCGGCTTTTCTTCTGCCACAGGTCTGAAAATTGGCGTGGAACAGCCGTGGGCTTGGCTGGATTCCTTTTGAGATTCCAAAAACCATGCATGATTTCAAGGGATGAAAATACATAGATGAAAATGGTTACTGCATGTTCGGGGTTTCTCTTCCAATCCGCACTGGGGCGACAGGGATGTGCCGGGAATCCAGGGATCTGTGGGCCAGAGCAATGCAGCATGAGATCCCTCCACACCATGGCGATTGGGGAAAGCATCCTCCATGGGGAAGATAACGTGATTTTTTGTTTTACACGTGTTTTGTTCAAGTCAATGGTAAAGATTTGAAAGATTTTTGAAAGATATAGGGCAACAAAAGCAACAGTGAAAGAACCAGAGACTGCCAAGACAACATCAGACTCAGAAGCCGCGTCGCGCCGACGGAGGCAGCAGCAGGGAAGTCACAGTATCTTGATCTGATTGGCTCAAAGCCTCATGATTCTCATGATGCAAACCTACAAGGACTCCTAAGGACCAAAAACCATTCGAGCACATTTCTTGTAATGTTCGTAACTATGGAAAATTATGGAACATGGAAGCATGATAGTTAACATGGATATCTGGTAATGTTCCATCTTATGTTTCAATGCAACATATCGTAACGGAAAAAGAATAGTCCCTGGTGATCTCAATTCATCCAGCAACGGGCATGCTGGGCATATGATGGTTTCCAAACATCAAGCGCCTTTCTATTCCTTCCGAAGAAAATTACAAGAAACCATGATAAGCCGTTTTTGTTGGATATTTTTGGGATATAAATTTTGGTGGTTTCTTGAACTCCGCTGTTCAAAATGTTTAAAAAAAATCGTGAATCCTGAGGTCCCAACGAACAGGATGCCGAAAAACATGACGGTGATCACCTTGGACAGGTTCCACGGTTCCGCAAAAACAACTAATGGATGGTAAAACAATGCCATAAACCACCCATTTGGGAATGGTTTATATCACCCATTTTATGATTTATTCTATTTCTAATTGCACGATAACACCGGGAATTGAAACTTGGCGTTCCTTGTCGTAGTTGTTACTTCAGAAACTTGGAACATCCAGTTTGAACCATCCACAATTCTGAAAACATGTGTTGCATCGTTGCAACAAGTGGACTGGTTGCCAATAACTTCCAATAACTTAAAGCCCATGATTCAACTCTCCATAAGTGGTGTACATTGGGGTGATTTTCAACCCCCCAATGATGTGCTCGCCATCCTGTACCTCCAAGGTACTCCTTGAATCAGCCGCGCGTTGCCCATAAACATCAGGCCGCTCGTGTCACGCATCTCGCTTTTGACGCGCCTCGAATTCGCAGCTATGGATCAAAACCCTGAGGTCCGCTTTCTCGAAATTGGTTTTTCACATGTTTTCACATCAAAATAATGGTAAATAGTGACTGTCATACCTCCATTCATATATTTCATATGGAAAATCATGGAACATCGGCCAGATTTGGAAGTTGACCTTCTTTGAGCCTAGTCTGCAATCTGGATTTGAAGTTGTCAGCCTAGAATCGAGAACAGCTCCAGGCAAAGGATATCACTTTGACCCAAGAAAATTGGGCTGACCTTGCTTAATGGGCTGCCATGTTCCAACAGTTCCAACATTTGGGGCCCAGCCAGTGCCGTCACGTCGAACGAATGTATTTGCGACACAATTTAGATCCTTACCGAACTTCAGAATGCCAGGTAGGGCATCTGCGCGTCATTGCACAAATAATTCTGAACCCTAACACCCTAAAACCCAAAAATCTGAAGCCCTAAGTCTCAAGCCCTAAACCCTCAAAACAATGGAGAAAAAAAACAATGGAAAACCGTAAAACCCTCACACCTAAATGCCTAAACCCTAAAACCCCAATTGTTAAACCCTAAAACTTGAAAACCATTCAAGCGACGTTGGGTGACATTTTCGGTGTTGGCGAGTATCTTTGCCAAGCATCATTGCCTTTTTTTCTTTGAACCCCTATTTATTCCCTTCGTCATCCTCCATCATACCGCAATGGCTTTTCGGGAACAAGTAAGATATTGAAAAATTGATCCCCGTTCAGATTGGACCCGAGGGGTTGGGAGCCCCATTTTGTAGCTACAGAACGGCGTCCCCAAGGTGCCCTTCTTACAAGTTGGCAGAACCCAACGTTCACCGAGGAAGGTTTTTGTTACAAAATGGCAGTCCAAGCTGACCCCTAGTTACAAAATGAGTCACCGATTTTGCTCGACTCGCATCCGCTCGCATCCGTTGGCTCGATTTGCCCTTTACAGAATGGTGGGGACTGGGGGTGGCTATACTCGCACTATCCTAGGATCCCTGGGAAGTAACCTGCAACAGCCCGGCCAACCCGAGTCGCGGTTCATTTTTTCCGTTCTTTTGCGTTCATCCGTCTGTTTTGGCGTGACGCTGTCTGAGTGGCCAAGCTAAACATTAAATACAACGTTGGATGTCATAATCAAAAAATATAAATATATCGTATATATATATATATATATATTATCTGACCCCTAGTTACAAAATGAGTCACCGATTTTGCTCGACTCGCATCCGCTCGCATCCATTGGCTCGATTTGCCCTTTACAGAATGGTGGGGACTGGGGGTGGCTATACTCGCACTATCCTAGGATCCCTGGGAAGTAACCTGCAACAGCCCGGCCAACCCGAGTCGCGGTTCATTTTTTCCGTTCTTTTGCGTTCATCCGTCTGTTTTGGCGTGACGCTGTCTGAGTGGCCAAGCTAAACACGCATCCGCTCGCATCCATTGGCTCGATTTGCCCTTTACAGAATGGTGGGGACTGGGGGTGGCTATACTCGCACTATCCTAGGATCCCTGGGAAGTAACCTGCAATAGCCCGGCCAACCCGAGTCGCGGTTCATTTTTTCCGTTCTTTTGCGTTCATCCGTCTGTTTTGGCGTGACGCTGTCTGAGTGGCCAAGCTAAACATTAAATCCAACGTTGGATGTCATAATCAAAAAATATAAATATCGATATATATATATAATATTATATATATATCATATATATATATTTAAATAGATGTGACTCATCTCGAGCATTCATGACCACTCAGACGCATCAGACTTTTCAAGGCCTCTCCCAAGCCCTGCACCCAAGGCTATGAAAATTATTCTGTGATTTTTTGATTCCATCCAGTTTGTAGGGGCTGTAGTTGAGTATTATCCATTTACGCTTTGAATCCATCCAATTTGTAGTGGTTATTGATTAGCCCTCCAGACTCCGACAGAATGGTCGGGACTGGAGGGTAACAAACTCGCACTTCCAATGCAAAATTCCGGTACCAGGGGGGGGTCCACTTACAAGATGGCAGAACCCAGGGTCAAAATTTTGCACAAAATGGTAGCCAAAAACCATTCTGTAACGGCCCTGAGGCCTCAGATTTAGTAACAAAAATTTCAACGGGTATAAAAATTGTGTTTCCGGGAAAATTGAACATGAACAGATTGTTGACAATGATGTGAAAAAAGGAGATTCATTCATCTCCTGAACTGAACCACCATGTCTCTGATACGCTACAGTCATTTAACATGGCTAGCTGGAAAAAAAAAACAAAATTTTATATTTTCAATATAGGATGTTCATCTTCAAAAGTGGGTACCTCTGGTGATTGAACATAGGCTACCAAATATTGTCGAGTTTATATTTTTGTTTCAGTCTTACAATTAGCATGACAAGGGTCATTTCAGGCCTCTAGAATAGAGGGACTGCACCATATTATAAAACCATGTGTTTTTTGTTTTGCCCGGACAGGCTCATTTTTCCATGGAAACGGTACCTCCGATAAAGAAAAATGTTCCCTTTTCATTTCCCAGTGAAATTCTGGCAAGGTTATCAGTTCTACATGGCTATTCATCATCATATATATATACATATATATATATATACATATATATATACATATATATATATACGGTAACTACATTTGAATATACGGACTTTGAAGTATACTAACAGGTATTTTAGACTACCTCCGGGAAGGTTTTCCTTGGCCCGTCCGGCCATTTAAACATACGGAATCCAATTCATTCAAACATACGGTAACTACACTTAAATATGCGAACTGGTATTTCATACTGCCTCCAGGGGCCTTGCGGTCTGGCCCGCCCTCCACATATTCAAATGTCGTTACTATATATATATACATCCATATATATATATTATCTGTCCATCTATCTATCTATCTATCTACCTACCTAGCTATCTATCTATCTATCTATCTCTCTCTCTATCTCTCTCTATCTATCTATCGATCGATCTATCGATCTATCTATCTCTCTCTATCTCTCTATCTATCTATCTATCTATCTATCTCTCTCCCATTAATATCTCATATATATCATATTCCATTTACATCCATTTATATCCCATATATATATATCCCATTTTTATCCCATTTGCCCATGATATCCCCATGGATATCCCCGGTAGCTTCGCCGGGCGTCTCTTGGTACCGATTGGTCATCTGCACCCGGATCTCCATGACCTCATCCGGAAAGATCTCGTCCCCCATGATGGACTCGGAGCCGTCGCGCAACCGTTTATTTGAATATAAAACTGAGTATATGAACAGTATAGTATATGCATAATGTATACATATATATATATAAATTATATACATATATATATATATATCTATCTACCTATCTATCTATCTATCTATCGATCTATCTATTGATCTATCTATCGATCTATCTGAATCTAAATCTATCTAAATCTATCTAAATCTAAATCTATATATCCATCTAACCTAATCCAATCTCATCTAATCTAATCTAATATAATCTATCCTAATATAATCTAATCTATCTATCTATCTGTCTATCTATCTATCTATCTAATTTATCTATCTATCTATCTATCTATCTATCCTATCCTATCCTATCCTATCCTATCCATCTATCTCTCTATCTAGTTATCTATCTATCTGTGTGTTCATGTTCACTTTTATGCAAAGTGCGCGTGCAGTTGTTGAAATGTGCAATAAGGGGATATCCAAAAGGAACAATCATTGTCACTAAGCACACGCTAGAATAAATGGGGAGACATAAAATGGGGACATCATAGGATAGCCTGAATATGATCCGTGGATATGTCTAGAAATAGGGGCTGCATGGCTTGGCCATGTTGGGTGCAAATGCTGATAAAACATGATAAAACACTAATGGTGATGCAGCAATGACGCATCAGGGTGTAACTCTAGTTGGGCCCTACTCAAAAAGATCATGTGGATGGTAATTATTATACATTGTTCAGCCATTTGATGGCAACCAAAAAAGCAACTTGGCTACCAAGACCAAGGCTTGACCAGTATCTTCTTGAGTGGCTATGGCTTGTGGGGGCGCGTTGAATCTGTGGAATTCGTGAGGTTTAGCATGAAACCATCATTTTTTTGGTTGTATTTTTTGAACCATATTGAATAAGACCTATGGAATCGAGCACTTGATGATGATGATGATGATGATGATGATGATGATTTGATGATTTGATGATGGTTTGATGATGTGATGATGTGATGATTTGATGATTTGATGATTTGATGACTTGATGATGGTGATGATGATGATGATCATGATGATGACGATGTTGCTGGTGTTGATGAGGATGATCATGATGATGACGGTGTTGTTCTTGTTGATGATGATGATGATGGTGATGATGATGATGATGATAGTGATGATGATGATAGTGATGATGATGATGATAATGATAATGATGTTGATGTTGATGTGCTTTCCTTTTTGTTATGCGTGCCATTTGCTTGTCACTTGCGTGTCGGTTTATTGTCACGAAGCCACTGGTGTTCGGGTCCGAAACGGCCGCTTAGGGGGAGGGAACAATCATTTAGCAATGGGGCTGGGGAAGTGCAAATCCTTCGAAACAAAGAATAACACCTAACATATCCAAACCAAGGAGGAACAAACTCAGAGGATTCTTCACTGGCCTTTATCTGACCTAAGCGGCCTCATTCCCTCATAGTGAATCTCACCTAATTAGGTGGTTTCTTTTGCAATTTTCCAAAAACTGCCTTTTAAAAGCCGTCACATAAGAGAAACAATGGAACATATAATTATATAAATGATAGCCTATATTATCTATATTTTGAAGAGAGAAACAATGACTTGGAATCTACCATCTAATTTCCTTACTATTCAATTCTGGTTTGCAGAAGATCCGCACAATTCTCAGGAAAGGGCATTTGAAAGGTCAACGTATACCATTTGCTACCCAGATTTCTCCCAGATGCATTGTAGGCACCCACCAGCTTCTGAAATCCTGGAAGCGTTGGCAATTGACAGCAGGTGGGACTGCATGGCGCCTTTTTCGAAAATGGAAGAGGCACCCTTGCAGAGTTTGTAGTCTTGACATGTCTGCATATTGGAAGTCCAAGAAAGCAAGCTTACAAGGATCTGACTTCTTGTAATCAAATGATTATTTGATACTTGCACATTCTTATCACATTCTTGCACCATTGCCCACCCTTCTCTACTTTCTGCGGTTCATTATGCGGTTTGATTGCCACGGCCCTCTCTGCATACCAGGTACGTTCTTGCGATTCTGGGTCGTCAGGATTCACGTCTGGGTGCTCTGAGAGAGCAATCTTGCGGAAGGATTTGCGAGTGTCCTTGGGCATCAAAAGATCTGAGGCATAAATGATCATCAAATTTCTTGGGGTGAATACATTAAAACATCATTAAAAACCCATAAAAATGCGAACGAGCCTTTACGACAATCTGCCCCGGGGAATTGCTCTGACCAGCTCAGGATGAAAACCAAACGCCTTGATGCCGTGTAGCACCGAAGAAAAACTGATGACCCCAGAGTCTTCAAACTTGATCCATACACCTACAAAGTCTTGATCTCTGGCACCTTTACCTTCCCACCAAAACCACGGGCATGGGTTTGTCTGAACATACGGCACCCCCAAACATTTTTTTCCATGTTAAAATTTATTTTCCGTAAAAACACTGCAATTTGGGGGTGTGCCTCATTTTCAGACACGCCCGCATGGCATCTCCTTTCTGTGCAAAAATGTCGCGAACGTTACCCTGAACTTGGACCAGTGAAACAGATCTATTGCAGGCAGCAATGATGCGGCGCCGCAGTTTACTGGGGCCAAAGGGATATAGGGATATAACACACATAATCTTGCAAACTTTCATGTCATAAAAATAATTTGCATGGATTATTTCACACATCCCGATCTTTTTATATAAAAGACTTAAAATGTGTGTGCTGTTTTCTGAAACACAATCATGAAATCAATCCGGGCTTCACTACGAACCTGTCAGCCATCTTTCAGCCCCCCTGCCACCTGTACTACCCACATCATTGCAAAAGTTGCAATGCGCTGCTCAAATCTGGTACCGGCGCTGATAGCGGACCCGGTGTTTTTAATGATTTTTATTTCAAGCATTATGTATGGATTTGTTTAAAACTGTGGCGCCGTGACGATTTTGTTATTTTACCCAGAATTAGAAATGTTGTTTTCGTCCCACGTTACGCTAGGAATTTATTCATTGATCATTGAATTCTATTAGGATAAATAATTGACAAATGTGGATTTTGGAAAACGAAACCTCCACAGCTTTTGAAGCTCGACTTTTTTCCTTCATGGATTCAGCGTAGCATCCAGGGCGTCTGGCAAGTGACAAGAGACATGTTATAGCGTAGCATCCAGAGCGTCTGGCAAGTGACAAGAGACATGTTACAGCGTAGCATCCAGAGCGTCTGGCAAGTGACACGAGACATGTTACAGTGTAGCATCTAGAGCGTCTGGCAAGTGACAAGAGACATGTTACAACGTAGCATCCAGAGCGTCTGGCAAGTGACAAGAGACATGTTACAGCACACCCCTTGCCGTCCCACCCCACACCCCCCCACACCCCACCCCCCCACCCCCCCAACCCCACCCGGTTCCCCAAGAAAATCACATTATCCTTCGTGCAATACTTCTAACTGACGTGCAATACTTCTAACTAACGGGCAATACTTCTAACTGACGTGCAATGCGACAGGAAAAAACAGCAAAACCTGCGGGTCCGTTAACAGCGCCGGTAGCTTAAAGCTTGAGCTTTGTGACGCACGCCTCCCGGAGGTAGTGCAGCTCACTGATGGTGCCCATGGCAGAATGATTGGAACGACTGGAAGCCGACGGACTGCCTCGAGAGGAACGCGAACTTGAACGACTTGAACGGCTTGAGGTACTGCGTCGGCAAAGAGCACGAAGTCCATGGAGTCCATGTTGAGTTGGAGGTGGCAAGTTTTGGAGGTTGGACTCGGTTAAGGTGTTGGTACTACGATCAGTCAAATGAAAAACCATGGATCCCATCCAGGCATCCAGAAGGTGATCATATTCTATGGACACAACTGCTTCAGCCCGACTGAATCCCAAGAAATCAAAGGTCACAGTAGTAGGTCCGATGTCGTTTGGTTGCTGTACAGCGATGGCATTTCCCAAGTCTTGCAATTGGCGGCTGAGCGATAGCCGTGTGTTGCCGCTCGCAAGGCTCAAAATACTGTCCTGAGCCGCTACAAAACTAAACCGCACCATATCGGATCAAGGGAAAGCAGCATTGTGTTATTTGGTCTCTTGCCTTTTCATTTTGCAACAATCCTCCCCTGTAGCCACATGCCCTGTGGCTCTGGCTCCACCCAACAAAGATATATATGCTCATAGTCTGTATATATAGATATATGCAAACAACGGCAAGGGAACAGAGAGAGAGAGAGAGAGATAGAGATAGAGAGAGAGAGATAGAGAGAGAGAGAGAGAGAGACAGAGCGCGAGCGAGCGAGCGAGCGAGGGGGTGAGGATATAATTCATACTGACAGCTCACAGTCATACAAATATGATTCAAATATGTAACATGCAATGGTATATAAACGTTCAGTTGTTGTTTGGATCATTTACAGTATACACATGTATGATATTGTATCATCATGCACGCATGCGAAGCTTTGCCTTGACATCCAAATCATTTTATAATATGTCGCATCTTTAGTTTTATAACATGGTTCAAGTATATTTTTCAATGGGGGTAACTTGTAAAAGTCATGTTGAAATTATATCAATAGATAGGGTCATAAAACATGAGATAGCACATACGTCAACAAAATACAAACAAGTTAGCAAAGATAGCTGTTTTTTGGCCTGGAAACGGATGTTTTGTATGGCAGGACAGTTTTTCTGCTCAAGTGGAGCGCAATTTCACGGGAAGCATGGCTGCAACTGAAATGTGATAGCACAGAGAGCGACGCTGCAGGACTTCAAATCCTGGCGTTTCCTGTTGTTTAAGAGAAGATGAGAGAAGGTTGGCGTGGAACGCACACGTGTTTCCTGTTGTTTAGAGAAGAAAACAAGGAAAGGCGCATGTGTTTCTAGATTTTACACTTCCAGAACAAGTAAATACGTATGCGTTTTCACACAGAGACATAAAAAGTGATTGAAAACGCGTATGTGTTAAAGATGTGTTTCCACATCTATACACATGGTGATCAAAAATATCGACATTCGGGATGTGTTTCCACAAAAACATGGAAACGCGCATGTGTATCCTCACGAAAATACCAAAATGGCAAGGGAACGCGATTAAGTTACCAGCTCCCATCACCATCGTGCTTGGAAACGCGTATGTGTTAAAACGTAGTTTTTTGTGCTTCCCCAAGACTGAAATCCGTAGCTGTTTTTCTGCGTCAAGCTCACCCGAACCGCTGGTTTTGCCAGAAACTCCTCACATTTCGAGATCAAAAGCTAAGGAAACGACATGCGGTGGGAAAAACGGAACTTCCCAAAATCACATGACAATTGAAAAAAAAAGCTACAAATTTTACAGCCAAAAAAGATACAAAAGATATATATAACTTAACTTACAAAACCTTTAACATAACTTAACATAACTTCAAGTTAACTTCCCTAAATCCTTTTATAAAGCCCCTAAGTCCATCCTAAGCCTAAGCACATCTATGTATGCGTGTGCATATGTATATGAGTGCTTAGGTTGACCGCACACTTTTATTTGTCAGAACCTCTCTTTCTGTCCAAGTCCAAGCATCAGGGGTTGTGTCCCCGAAGTATGGTCTGCAAAGCCGTTGCATCTCGCCATTCATGATATGAATGTCGAAGCTATACACATCATACATCACAAGAAGAGCCTCATTGCCTGCCAGGCGTGAGGGATCTGAAGGACCAAGTGGAGCAGGAGGTTCCAAGTCTTGAAGCTCTCGCAAGCCCACTAGAAAGCACCTCTCACTTGCCAAATTTTTGAACTGCGCACAGAACAGCTCCACTTGGACATGGTTGAAATCAGAATCCAGCATGTCCGCATTCAAGGCCACGGCAGAGATATTCTCGACAGGATTGAGTACTTGCTCGGAGATGCGCTGTCTGTCTCCCTCGCTGAAGAAGTCAAGCAATGACTTCCCTGCCAAACCACCAACTTTTGGTGCAGTTTGGAGAAGCATGGATGAGAGTTGGCCCGAATCCTTACGTGCCAATGATTGCAACTTCACCCAAGGCGAGCTAGAGGTGGCTTCAGGTTTGCCAAGAAAATCAATCTGATATCTATGCATGGGTGAATGAAAACAACACAAAAGAAAGGCGACAAGTTGGGCAAAGTGATTCAAAAGCTACAGAAAAATAGTGGTTTCTGTTGTTTCAACCCTCCCAAAAAAAATATACTCATCAGTTGAGATCATCATCTCGTTTTTGGGGCCGAAAAGCAATGATAATTCGAAACCACCAAACAAACAGACAAGGATCCTGGGTCAATTTAAAATTTTGATCCAGCTCAACAACCGCATCGTAGCACGCGGTCAGCAAAGAGGAAACTGCACCCAATTCCACGGTCCTCTTCTGCAAATCCACCTGGGGATGAATCGACATTGAGAAACAATCGAGGGGTCACCCCAGCCTCCCATCGGATCAAAGAGAGGGGAACTCATCATTTTTCCTGCTGGACTGGGCGTATTTTGATTGATTTTAAATCCCGCAAAGAACCCCACCTTGAGAAGCACATTCTCACGCATCAAATTCCGCACAATGAGGATGCAAAAAAACATGAGCGAGAACACTCCGACGAGCCACTCAGTTGAGTCTGCTCCTCCTCGCTGTCCTGAATATGGTTTGAATTGGTGGTTTCTTACAGTAGGGGATCCTCAAGTCTAATGACTTGGATGATTTGGGTTACCCATGGTTACCCCCCATTTCAGGAAAGCTCCAATTGGTTCAATAGTGTGACAAATCCGCAAAACACGGGATCGTTGGTTTCCTTGAGCTCCCGTCCTTGCAATCTGGCGATCAAAATGGCTTGGAGCAAGTGGACTAGGATGCAAAATGCTACGCAGCAAATCCGTTTGGCCAGCACTGCCAAAATGAAGCGAATTGGGAAACCAAGAGCCATCACGTCCCGAACATCCACCTCAACGGGAGGAATCAAATGGACAGCATCTAGGATCACCAAAATCAGCACGTACCAAACATCGAGGCTTTTGGGAGTGATGAGTCGTGGGAAGGAAGTCACCACGAGCGACAAAACGGCAGCGGCCAAAATGTGGAGATCAAACTCTGCATTGGTGTTGTCCTCACGAAGGACTGCAATCTGTCGAGAGACCAAACGGCACATGGTCAGGACGGAACATACAAACAGGAAGCGTTGCATCCACTTGCAACGCATCACATCGAGTTCCACTTCACTGCTACTATCACCACCTTGTTGACGCTCCCACCACCTTTTGAGTTGCGTGCATAACTTGCAAGAGGCAAAGGTCAGGCGGATAAACGATTTGTGGGACAGCAGGAAGGAAACCAGAAGCACTAGGGCGGCTGCTAGAATCAGCGGGGAACTATATCGAACCACGGAAGCCTTTGTGACTTCCATTGGAGAAATCAGCGCGTTGTCTCTTCAAAAACGTTAAAAACACTCTTTTAAAACATACTTTGAGCCATGAAACAGCGAGGAAAACATGAATTTCTCTCTAATAATATATATATATATTATATTTATTTATTTATCACGCGACAGCAAAAGTCCAGTAGCCAAGGCTGATAGGCATATTTCATCCCGAAGCACACACAAGTGATCCCAAATGGCACCGGCATCTTTGGGGAGGTCTAGCTACCTGGTTGGTGGTTGCAGCCCATCATCATCCTAGGTGCGGTAGGGTTGAAGAGTGGTTGGTGAAAATCGACGTTGGAAACCGCCAGCCAACTTACTGTCTATCTTGTTCCAAATTTGTATCAGCTTCCCATGATCACTATCTTGGATTTGCTTAAGAACGCGAATCCCTTTAGATTCTCTAAGTAGTAAACTTATGAATTTCCCATAAAGACACATAACCATCTTCAGCCCAGGTTATCCATGGTTATCCTGTGATTATTGGTGTTTGGATCCCGAAATTCCAAACCCATCTTCCCCCGATCGTCCAGCCACACTTTTGCTGGTGCCACGAGGGAGGCCCAAGACCTGAGGCAATGCCGGTGAAAAATGGACCCATGCAACCCTGGAACATGGGATTTTTATGGATTTTTGTTGTTCCCCACCTGTCAGGTGAGGGTTGTTAGATTATCCTGTCTTCTCCTTCTCCTTCCTTCTCCTCCGCCGGGCTTCAACTGCAAGCGCTAGATCGCAGTGTTCCCCGCCGGACCCGAATATGGATCAAAGTGATTTCCGGCGGACGGCGGACCTCATCTGCAAGCTCTAGATCGCAGTGTTCCCCGCCGAACCCGAACAGCAACCTAAATCACAGTGATCCCTGCTGGACCTCAACTGCAAGCTCTAGATCGCAGCGTTCCCCGCCGAACCCGAACAGCAACCTCTAAATCACAGTGATCCCTGCTGGACCTCAACTGCAAGCTCTAGATCGCAGTGTTCCCCGTCAGGCCCGAACAGCAAGATCAAGATCAGAGTGTTCCCCGCCGGACCTCAGCCACGAAGATTCCCCCAAGATATACCAGATAGAATGCCAGAAAAGAATATCAGAAGAGATGCCAAATAGAATGCCAGAATAGAATGTCAGATAGAATGCCAAATTGCATGCCGGAACGTATGCCAGAACATATGGCAGAAACAATGCCAGATAGAATGCCAGAGAAAATATCAGTATAGATGCCACGAAGGATGCCAGATAAGATGTCAGAATAGATGCCAGATAGAATGGCAGGAGATTATACCGTATATCTTTCC